GGGGGGGGGGGGGGGGGGGGGGTAGAGACTTACGTAGCTTGCGATCTTTCGTTCCATAAGGATGTGAGCGGGTGCACCGAGGCCGTGCACGTTTCGCTGCATGGTGAGCTTGAGGTTGTCGCGCGTGGCGTCCCAGTTCTCGAGTCGGTTCTGAACGGGGTGGTGCGATGCAGTTGAGACCTGGTGGAGCACGTTGGCGGTGCCGTGGCGCATGGTGTCGTGCACGCCCGCGTAGACGGGATGCCAGGTGGAGGCATTCGAGGAAGTCGAGGTGTTCGATGCATATTTGGGCGGCACGAGCGCATAGCTCGGCTCAGCCTGCGTGTTGGATGTCGAGCTCATGTTGCAGTATATGCGGTGCTCCTGGCGATGAATGGGAAGGTCGTAGAAGGCGAGGATGGAGCAGGGCAGCGACGACGCGCAGTTTGATGGACAGAGGTGGAGAAGGGTGGGGCCCGTGTGTTGCGTTGAGCCGAGCTGGCTGAGGCGAGTTGCGTGGCCAAGTCGATCACGAAATAGTTCCGATGTTAGGTCCACTTCGGGCCGTGTTTTGTTTGTCAGCATGACACGACGGTGCAACCCCTCGAGTGGAGTTAGTTTTGGCTGCACGAAAAATTGTTTTCCGCGCAGTGCAGCGGCGCTTCTTTTTTGCTAGAGCAGCTCAGCCATGCTCGAGTCCAGTCGAGACCCTGACAGTCTGCCTCGGCCTCATCGAGACGGCCAACGAGGAACTTCCTAACTTCCTTCCGCACCTCCAAATAAACCAGTCCGGCCAGCCATCATGGATCCAGACGGCCTCTTTGACTTCCTCGCGCCTGCAGAGGCAGCGCCCAGCCCGGCCACCTCGTCGGGCTCCTCGCCATCCAAGAAGCAGCGCAAGCGATCCAAGGCTGCGGCTGCCGCTGCCGCTGCCGAAGCTTCCAAGTCCACAGAGGCTTCCACTTCCAAAGACACGTCGACCACCAAACAAAAGAACGGCAGCACCGCACAGAACGATGAAGTTGCTGCCGCTGACGTCTCGTCCTCCGACGACGCGCCATCTGCTCCTGGTCCGTCCAAACGCCAACGTCGCGACGGCCCTGTCAAGCCCGCGCCGGCTCCCGTCCCCACCGTCGTCACGGACGAATTCACCGACGAGGCCACCCAGTCCATCCCCATGGAAGGCGGTCTGGCTCCTGCCAACTCCAACGATGCCGCTGCGGCGGCGGACAACGCAGACGGCTCCTCCAGCACCGACCTCGCCACCACCAACGCCGCCGAGAAGAAGATGCACGTCACACACTCGGTGCGACACCAGGTCGCGTTGCCACCCGACTACCCCTATGTACCGCTCTCGCAGCACGTTCCCAACGATCCTCCCGCAAAGCACTACAAATTCACCCTCGACCCCTTCCAGCGCAACTCGGTGTCGTGCATCGAGCGCAACGAGTCGGTGCTCGTATCCGCGCACACCTCGGCCGGCAAGACCGTCGTCGCCGAATACGCCATCGCACAGTGCCTCAAGAATGGCCAGCGCGTCGTCTACACCTCGCCCATCAAGGCGCTCTCCAACCAAAAGTTCCGCGAGCTCACCGCAGAGTTTGGCGACGTTGGCCTCATGACCGGCGACGTCACCATCAACCCCTCGGCATCGTGCCTCGTCATGACCACCGAGATTCTGCGCTCCATGCTCTACCGCGGCTCCGAGATCATGCGCGAGGTCGCCTGGGTCGTCTTTGACGAGATCCACTACATGCGCGACAAGGAGCGCGGCGTGGTGTGGGAAGAGACCATCATCCTCCTGCCTCGCAAGGTGCGCTACGTCTTTCTCTCGGCCACCATCCCCAACGCCATGCAGTTCGCAGAGTGGATCGCACACACGCACGCACAGCCCTGCCACGTCGTCTACACCGACTTCCGCCCCACGCCGCTCCAGCACTACCTTTTCCCGCAGGGCGGCGAGGGCATCCACCTCGTCGTCGACGAGCGCGGCACCTTCCGCGAAGACAACTTCCAAAAGGCCATGGGTGCGCTCGCCGACTCCAAGGGCGAGGACGTTGCGGATCCTAACGCCGGTGGCGGAAAACGCAAGGGTCAGGTCAAGAAGGGCGGCGGCGGCGGCAAGAAGGGCCCCTCGGACATCTACAAGATCGTCAAGATGATCATGGTCAAGAACTACAACCCCGTCATCGTCTTCGCGTTCAGCAAGCGCGAGTGCGAGGCGCTGGCGCTCCAGATGAGCAAGCTCGAGTTCAACACCGAAGACGAAAAGGAGATGGTGTCGACCGTCTTCACCAACGCCATCAACGCGCTCTCCGAGGAGGACCGCGGCCTCCCCCAGATCGAGCACATCCTGCCGCTCCTCCGCCGCGGCATCGGCATCCACCACGGCGGCCTGCTGCCCATCCTCAAGGAGGTGATCGAGATTCTTTTTCAAGAGGGCCTCATCAAGGTGCTCTTCGCCACCGAGACCTTCTCCATCGGCCTCAACATGCCCGCCAAGACCGTCGTCTTCACCGCGGTCAACAAGTGGGACGGCAAGGAGTTCCGCAACCTCACCTCGGGCGAGTTCATCCAGATGTCGGGGCGTGCCGGTCGACGAGGCCTCGACGACCGCGGCATCGTCATCATGATGTTCGACGAGAAGCTCGAGCCGAGTGCGGCCAAGACCATGGTCAAGGGCGAGGCGGACCGGCTCAACTCGGCCTTCCACCTAGGCTACAACATGATTCTCAACCTCATGCGTGTCGAGGGCATCTCGCCAGAGTACATGCTCGAGCGCTGCTTCTTCCAGTTCCAGAACGCCGCGTCTGTGCCGGCGCTCGAGGCGGAGCTCAAGGCGGCCGAGCACGAGCGCGACGACGTCAAAGTCGAAAGGGAGGACGAGGTGGCCGAGTACTACGACGTCAAGCACCAGCTCGAGACGCTGCGCCGGGACGTGCAGGCGGTGGTGACGCATCCGTCGTACGTGCTGCCCTTCCTGCAGCCGGGCCGGCTCGTCAAGGTGTGCCATGACGAGCTCGACTTTGGCTGGGGCGCGGTGGTGTCGTACGAGAAGCGGCTGCCCAACACGCCGGGCAAGCGCGGGCCGGCGATCGACCCCAACGCGCCGCCGCAGAGCCAGTATGTGGTGGATGTGCTGCTGCACTGTGCGGCGGGCTCGGGCGAGAAGAAGGGCAAGGAGGCCGCGCCGTTTGTGCCGTGCCCCGAGGGCATGAAGGGCGAGATGGTGGTGGTGCCCGTGCTGCTCTCGACGGTCGAGGCGCTGTCGGGCATCCGCATCTTCCTCGCCAAGGATCTGCGTCCGAGCGAGCCGCGCGAGACGGTGCGCAAGAACCTCGTCGAGGTGCGCCGGCGATTCCCCAAGGGCGTGCCGCTGCTGGATCCGATCAAGGACATGAAGATCAAGGACGACGCGTTTGCGCATCTGGTGGAGAAGATCAAGATCCTCGACGAGAAGCTGGCTTCGTCGCCGCTGCGCACGGACAAGGCGTTGCCGCAGCTGTATGCGGCGTACGCCAAGAAGCAGCAGGCTCAGGAGGTGGTCGAGGGCGTCGCCAAGAAGATCGCGGCGGCGCATTCGGTGCTGCAGCTGGACGAGCTCAAGTGCCGCAAGCGCGTGCTGCGTCGGTTGGGATTCACGACGGCCGACGATGTGGTGGAGAAGAAGGGTCGAGTGGCGTGCGAGATCAGCACGGGCGACGAACTGTTGCTGACAGAGATGATCTTCAACGGCGTCTTCAACGACCTCGAGCCGGCGCAGTGTGCGGCTTTGTTGTCGTGCTTTGTATTCGGCGAGAAGAGCACCACGCAAACGCGGCTTGCCGAGAACCTGGCTGCGCCTCTGCGCATCATGCAGGAGACCGCGCGTCGCATCGCCAAGGTGTCGATCGAGTCCAAGCTCGAGCTGGTCGAGGAGGAGTACGTGTCGTCGTTCAAGGTGGAGCTGATGGATCTGGTGTTGCAGTGGTGCCAGGGCGCCAAGTTTGCCGAGATCTGCAAGCTCACCGACGTCTTTGAGGGGAGCATCATCCGATGCATGCGCAGACTCCAGGAACTCATCCGCCAACTCGTCCAGGCCGCCAAGGCCATTGGCAACGAAGGCCTCGCTACAAAGTTCGAACAGACACTCGCAATGCTCGAGCGCGAAGGAAGCATCATCTTTAGCCCCTCCCTCTATCTCTGAACCGCCTCTGCAATCTATTCTTTTTTCTTTGAGGACGGCGTATGTGTTTTAGGTGGAGCGTGCAATGTCGACAAGTCGGCCATCGACAAGTGGCGATACAAAGGCAAGATTCATGTCGTCGGCACGCGGTTGCGTCGCCGCACTAATGTCTGAACGCAGCTGGTCCATCTGTCCCTGATCGAGGTGGAACGAGCTGGACGCCACAGCCCCCTTGCCAAACGCCGGCTTTGCGTGTCGCTCGCCATTGGGCGGATGGGCATTGGGGTGGGGGAGATTTTGCAGGTCGGTGTTCTGCTTGCGGACGAGGCTGTCGAGTGCTGCGATCAGACGACGCTGGTCGGTGATGCCCATCTCCGCCGCGCCGGGGAGTGTCTTTGCGGCCTCCTCGAGCGTGCTGAATGCTGCGCGCAACGCCGTGGCGCGCGAGACGATCTCTCTCTCGAGTGCAGTCGGCTCGCCCCGCTGAGCGCGCGATGCACCTGCCGCAAGCAGTGCCAGCGCCGCATGGTCGTCGCCATCGTCCGCAGTCGCACCCAGCGCAATCGCCGCATCGCCACCCTCGGCTTCGTCATGCGCAGCAGCCGCAGACTCGTCCGACGAGGTGTCGCCCGTGTACAGCTGTCCATCCTGCGCGGCTGCGCGCGACACGAGCGCCAACAGCTCGCGGATCTGCGTCAACAGACCCGACGCGAGCGTGGGATCAAATAGCGCGCTGTCATGGCCTCCGTGCGCAGCGTCGGTGCGCGTGCGCTTGGCAGCACGAGACGCCGTGTCTGCCCCATTGACACCACCAACTGCGGCGGCGGTGGAGGTTGCAGAGGAGTGCGGTGTGGTGAGCGGCTCGTTGAAGCGGCGCGAGACCGAGTCGTAGGCCGAGTGGTGTTCCGATCCGCCGATGTGGAGTGCGTCGCGGAAGCCGCCGGGCGACTGGTCGACCACCATGCACCACTCGCCCGCCGAGCCGGCGCGGCCGCGCTTGACGGGCTTCGTGGGCAGCTCGGTCTGGGTGCTCGGCTTGATGGCACGCTTGAGCAGGTTGAGCGAGCGCGCGCGCGTGATGGCGATGCGCGTGCGCTTGCTCAACGTGTCCACGTCGCGCATCTTGTCGTCCCCAACCTCGGCCATCGGTCCGTCGGGTCCCGGCAGCGCCGCCGAGCCGTCGGTGCTCTGGCCGTCCTGGAGCCGACGGATCTGCTTCATGCGCCACAGATAGCTGGCGCCCAGCAGAAACTTGCGCACGATCGCCGACATGAGCTGGCCGTTCTCGTGGTCCACGACAAAGCGGCCACGCTTGAGCGCGTCAAAGCCGTCGTAGCCTTCGGCGAGATACTCGCGCGTCACCACGCGGTAGGTCTTGTCCATCTCGAGCGCACCCCTGCTCACCAACGCCGGCCTGTGCACCTCTAGATCGTATCCGCCGCCGGGAAGCTCGGTGAGCGAGAAGCGACGCAGCTTGCCCACGTCGGCATCCTCGTGCTTGGCATCCTTGGGCTGCGCCGAGGCGGGCGTGTCGAGCGGGTTGTCGAGCAGCTCGACGCTGACGAGCCTCTTGCCAGGGGGCTTGGTGGAGTCCCACTTGACCATCATGCCTGCGACCTGCGGGAATCTGCCCTCCTGCTTGGGCCAAGCAGACAGGCCGTTCTCCAGCGCATCCCAAATGTCCTGTCCCTTGAGCTCTTTGCATACGACGGCGTCCTCGAAGGGCAGGATCTCGAGCACGTCCGAGAGCGCGATCTTGCCCGGGCCGTACACCTGGTCGCCGCGGAGGCTGCCGCCGCAGATGATGCAGCAGTCGACCTCGCGCGCATTGGGCGGACGGCGCTCGCTGAGCTCGCCGCGGTTATCGCGTTCGCGCAGCACCTCCTCGTACGAGTTCATGAGCACGTCGGCGACAAAGTTGCCAAACGCCGACTCGTCGGTGCGCACCTTTTCGCTGCGCACGTCCCAGGGCGTGAGCGTGTAGGCGACACTCTGACCGGTCGACTTGCTAATCTTGGCAAGAAGATCGTCGAGCAGCGTCTTGACCGCTGGCAGCGAGGCGTCGGAGGCCTGGGTGCGGTATCGCTTGACGCTGAGGCTGCGGATGGTGCGCTTGCGTACGGCGGCGTCGTCGCGCTCGGAGAGCTCGAGCTTGAGCTCGGAGAGGTCGCGGAAGTCGGTGCCGGACTTGACGACCATGGCGGCCGAGTCGTTTTCGGTGCCTGGCTCGCCGCGTTGGAAGGCGTCGCCCTCGTAGTGGGCTGCGCCGTTGCCGACGTAGTAGATGTGGTCGTGACCGCCGAGCACGAGATCGACGCCGTGGGAGGTGGCATCGGGGTTGGCGACCGCACCGACCTCGTTGGCAAAGTCAATGTCGTTGGGCAGCCGGCTGTGGGTGATGGCAATGACAAGCTCGCACGCCTCGCCTGCGGGATCACGCAGGATCTGGCTGAGCTTGAGCGCCGTCTTGGCCATGTTGCGGTAGACAAAGCCGTGGGGAAAGTTGGGGACGGTGGCGATCCACTCCTTTTCGACGATGCCGATGCAGCCGACCTTGACGCCCTGGACGGTGGTGGTCCAGGAGCGCAAGGTGCCGGCGACCTGGGCATCGTCGTCGCACAAGTCCTCGTCCCAGTTGGTGCTGCCGCTGTCGCCATCCTCCTTGTCCTGGGCAGAGTCAGTGGCGTTGGATCGGTCTACGACGTTGGAGAAGAGCCAGGGAAAGTTGTTTTGCGCCATGAGGGTCTGGAGATGTGGATAGCCAAAGTCCCAGTCGTGGTTGCCGAGGCAGGCGCAGTCGAGGTTGAAGGCATTGATGACGGGCACGAGATGGGTGCCTCGGGTGACGCTCGACTCTACCGAGGGCGAGTAGAGGTCGCCACTGAAGAGCACGAGACCCTTGCGCTCGCGCGCGGTTGCATGCTTGGACCAGTCACGAACGCCGTCGGATGGCGGCGGTGGCGGGAGGTTGGCGAGATCGGACGGCTCGCCCCACGACTCGCGGATGGACTGAATCTTGGCGGCAAACTGGTCCGCGCCGATGGTTCCGCCGCTCTTCTTGTCGTTCTGGCGGACGCGGTAGACGTCATTGAAGTGGATGATGGGGAGTGTGACGGACATGGCGGAAGATCTATGGGATTAGCGAGACAATGTAGGGACGGAATCGAATGCAAGTGATGAGGGCGCTCAGATGGCAGGCATAGCAGCAGAGAGATGGGGAAGAGTGAGCGCTGCTTCGAGGAAAGGAGCTGGAAGAACGGACGTCGGGGGAAGGGGGTGGTGGTGTTGGTGTTGGTCAGCACGGCTAGGCGAGGCTGAGCTTCAGGGTCCGTGCTGAGCCGTGTCCCGATTGCGCTCCCGATGCGAGTGCGCTCCCGATGCGATTGCGGCTGCAGCGAGGCGGTGTTGGCGATTTCACGGCTTCGCTCCGCTCTGCTCCACTTGGCTCGACTTGGCAGAGCAACACCAACTCGTTGCTGCTTCTGATCCACTGCCACCGGCCCACAGCCTGAGCACGACGAGCGAGTCACGACATGTCGCGCGATCCCTACCACGATTTCGCATCGGACCTCAAGAGCTCGTTGGCGTCGGCGCGCTCGTTGAGTGAGTCGTACAGGCAGCTCGTCGCCAGGAGCGCTGCATCGAGTGCATCGGGCGCCGGTGGCTCGTCTTCGCGTCGCACATCCAGCGAGATCGACTCGGCACACGACCGGCTTTCGGATGCGATCGAAGGACTGCGGCAGGACGTCGAGGATGTCAAGCAGAGCGTGGCGGTGGTGGAGCGCAGCGGGCCCGAGCGCTTTGGCGTGACGCCAGACGAGCTGCGCCGCCGCAAAGCGTTTGTCGAGGAATGCGAGGCCGAGATCAAGGCGCTGTCCAAAGTGGTCAAGCAATCAGCTCCCGGTGGACGCCGCGGCGGTTCCGGATTCGACTCGGTCAAGATCGATGTGGATGGCCAAGACGAAGATGCGACAGAGGTGTTCGAGCGTGAACAGCAGCAGGTAAGTTCGCCTCCCCAGCATCCTTCTCGAAGCAGAGGAAACTCATGACTGACGTGAGCCTTGTCGGTGTTGGTGTTGCGATGCACGCAGATTCTCATGTCGCGGCAAGACTCTACGCTGGACAAGATCGGCACGACACTCAACAGCCTGCGCAACCAGGCGGGCATGATGGGGCAGGAGATCGGCGAGCAGATCGAGATCATCGACGCCTTTGATGGCGAGGTGGAGCAGAGCCAGGGGCGGCTGGGCAAGGCGATGCGCAAGATGGACGAGGTGGTGCGCATCTCGGACGAGCGCCTGGGCGGATGGTGTGTGTGGATCCTGATCGTCGTGCTCTTCCTGCTTCTGCTGGTGGTGTTTTTGATATAGCGCCCTCTCATCGTCCTGCCATTTTGCCATCCTATACCCCACGCACGGACAAATACAGCGCACAGAAGCAAACTCAGCATACGTGCACTCGTGTCGAGCCCTAGCAAAGACGCAGCAGTGAGTGGGAGATGGTGACCGAGGTACAGGGATGAAAGGGCATCGACCATCAAGTGCGGGTTTGGGAGGGGGTGAAATTGCGCGGCGATCCTCCACCTTTGGAGGCGGCGAAGGACTGCCGCGCTGCGATGGGCTGTGAAGTGCTGCGCTGCACTGCACGGCACGCCTCGGCCCCAAAGCCACGCGACCCCTCGGCGCCCGTCATTCACGCTCACCACCATCACCAACATTGGCCCGTCATCGCGTCGCCATCAGCCGGCGGGCAATTCACCTGGAAACTTCCCTGTACGATGTCACTCTTTTGAACTCTCAACACTCGACACCGCACACGCCATGGACCCGCTTTGTTGCAGCATTGCTTGCCAATCCTGATTCGACGACCGCACCCTTTGCACGGCCACCACCATGGCGAGTGGCAGCAGCGCAGCATCAATCGCGCAGGAGCGCGATACCCACTCGGAGCCCATCAACTTCCGTGCGGCGCTCGCGGCATTCGAGCAAAACAGCTCCACGCATGCCGGCAGCCCGGGCGCAGCTGCTGGTCGCACACCCCAGACGCCTGCCCGTCCATCTGGGGGCTTGGATCCCATCGCACGATCCGCGTCCACACCGCACAACCGCGCCGGTGCAGCAAGCAACAACCCGTTCTCAGCAGCCAATGCAGCCGCCTCGCCGCGCGTGGCGACAGGCTCGATCCCTGCCACCTCGGCGTCTGGCATGCTCAGTGCACCTTCGCCTGCAGTCGTAGCTTCCACCTCACCCTCGTATGCTACGGGCAGCACGCTGCGAAAGTCGGACAGCGGTCTGAGCCTGCGTGAGCTGATGAACAAGAGTCTGCCGCGCAGTGCCCACAGCCCCGTCCCGCCGAGTCGCAGCCGCTCCGGTGCGGACGACGACTCGACGGCCGCCGCGGCATCGGCATCTGCATCAGGCCGATCGACACCGGCCATGGCACCTCGCGCCATCGTGGGGCTTTTTGCCGAAGACCCTTCCGCGGACGCGCTGCGGCGTACGGCTAGCCCTGCATCGTCGCTGTACTCGGACGAGCGTGCGGCGCGCCACATGCTGGATACGAGCCTGGACGAGCAGGACCACACGCATCCCATGTTTGCGCATGCCGTCATGCCGCGCAGCACGCCCGGCTCGCCCGAGCGCAAGGGCAGCACCTCCTCCACCGCCTCGGCGTCCAGCACCACCCCGCGTCTTCCACCGCGCCCCACGCAGCCCAGCCTGGCGCCCAGTCCGACGCTCACCGAGTTCGGCCAGTTGCAGCCCGCCGCCAAAGACAAGGCAGTCGGGTACGCCACCTACACGCCTGGCTTCAAGCGCGGCGTGGCGACGATCGAGGTGCAGCGCACGCCGCCTGCGCTTCCACCGAGAAGTGCCACGTTAGGCCAGAGCGAGCGTGGGAAATCGAGAGAGCCTCCATCGGTTCCTAAAAAGCCACTCAAGCCGGCTCCTCCCCCGCGACCCACCGCGGCGCCCAGGAGCACACCGGACAGCGCAGCCAAAGCGTTCCGCTTCGGAAGCGCAGCCGCCGAATCCACTTGCGCTCAGCCGGCACCTCCACCGCGACCATACAAACCCTCAGCGCCAGGCGGCACAAGTCTCACACCCACCCCACCCAACACGGCCACCACAGCCAAACACAGAAAGAGCGGCAGCAACGTGTTTACGAGCATCAGTCTGAGCGACGAGGCGAGCAGCGAGTTGCGGCGTACGCTCGAGACCGACGTGCGCGCCGATGTGCAGTTGCCTCCGCCCGCGCGCGGGCGTCCACCCACCACACCGCACCGCACCGCTACCGCATCCACGGCTACGGGGGGTGTGGTGAGCTCGCTCATCGGTACGGCTGCATCGGCGCTACCGCTGTTCAAAGCGTCCACACCATTAGCGGCGGGTGCAAGGTCACTTGCCGACGGTGCGCCGTCCAAGCAGTATGGCCTGAGTCGCAGCGGCAGCATGCACTCGGATCTGAGCGTGCTGCCGGGCCACGCGGATGCGGGGAGCTGGATGCCCACGCGCGCCGTGCAGCTCGCCGATGCGCCCAAACGTGCCCCTGCAGCCGCGGTGCCGGGATGGTGGAAGATGCCGGATCCAAGCGCACGCGCGCGATACGATGCGCTCTTTACAACCACGCTTGCCGACCAGGCGCGACGCCGCAAGCATGCGCGCGCGGACGAAAGCGCGTCGAATGCATCTACACTGCGCGAAAAGCCGCGCACGGCGGGCGTGCAGGCGCTGCGCGGGTGGTTCGAGTCCGACGCCCCACCCGCGGCCGATACGCACACCGGCGTGCAAGCGGACGAGTTGGGTGCGGCGAGCGTGCGACGCGTGTGGAAGCGCAGTCGGCTTCCAGCGCGGTTCCTGGCGCAGGTGTGGGACTACGCCGTGCAGCTGGGCGACGATGCCAAGCCCCCCTCGCCCGCGCTTGGCCGCGAGGCCTTCGTGTGCGCACTCGCCACAATCGATGCCGAGCTCGCGCGCAGGAGGTCCCGCCGCCAGCAACGTACTGCGCAAGCCAGTGATGCACACGCAGTTGCGGCGAGAGAGACAGGTGGACGCAGAGTGCCGCCGCCACCGCGCACATGATGGGGGAAGAGCAATGGAAACGTGCGTTCATGCGTCCGAGTGCGTGGCTGCGACAGGCGAGGTTGTGCCGTGGATGAGGTCTGCATGCATAAAGTTGGTGAGCACGGTGTGCGCACTCATGTGGTTGATGATGGGGCGATGGGGCTTACCCTGGATCGAGGTTTCGAGCGCGTCGATGCGTGTGCTCATCTCGTTCACTGTGCCGTCAAGAGTCAAAGAGTCAGCGCGAGCTTGCATAGGCGCAGGTGGAAGAAGGGAGGCACCTACTGCGCGCGGAGACCTGAGAGTTCATGTCGTCGAAGCGCGTCTCGAGCTGGCCGAGCACCGTGTCGACCCAGTCGATCAGCTGGTGTGGCGACGAGATGTCCGCTGGCTCAAGCGCCGCCTTGGCGTCGGTGGGCGGTGCGGTGCTGGCGGCTGCCGATGCCGCGCTGCTCGATGACGACGAGGTGGCCTTTGTAGGCGCAGCGGATGCAGCGGATGCAGCGGATGCAGCGGATGCAGCGGATGCAGCGG